TCTCTCTCTCTCTCTCTCTCTCTCTCTCTCTCTCTCTCTCTCTCTCTCTCTCTCTCTCTCTCTCTCTCTCTCTCTCTCTCTCCTCCCCCCCGCTCCAGGGCACCTGCGTCATAGCTTTGCATTATCAGACTCTGAGAACTGTTGCCTCCGGGGACACATCCATTGGTCCAGTGCCATCTCCGTGTGCTGACAAATCAATGTGACATGAACCAACATCCAAACACACAGCTACAGACATCACAAGCAAGGAGACTCGTGCATTCTCACATTGTGTGTGTGTTTGACGAGGAGCAAGACCACTGCGACGTGAATCGGAGCGAGCTGCGTTTTAAGATAGCGATCACAAGTCATACCAGGACATTATGCGATCTGCATCATATCATGAGGCTGAACCCGCAGATTGTCGAGGTTCAGCTTCCTGATGAGTAGGTGCAACTCCAACTGAACAATATTGTTGTCATCAGTTTTCTTTTTTATTGAACGTGTGATCTTCATTGCAAGAGGTAGAGCACTCGATGGGCTAGAGTGGCCCAAAGCTTGACCAACCCCAAGGAAACTCCGAATGCTTGCAACTGAGCATCGCGCAGACAGACTTTTGGTGCTGAAAGCTGCACTGACTCATCAGGAGGCAGAACCCTCGACAATCTGCGGAATCCCCGTATTGATGGTTTGGGTCATGTGTATTCCCTGTGTTTTTGCTCTGCAATTAATGCAGGTCGATACTTGATTTAGGATGATGCATGTTCCACTTTCTGTCCAGACCTTTCAAACTGAAAAAGGAAGAGGGGGTCAGGCCTGGTCAGCCTTTCTTTTTTTTTTTTTTTTTTTTAAGTTGAAACAGTCCTTATGGTCCTGGCTCCATATCCATTCTGGGGAGCATAAGTCCGGTTCCTTTCCACTGGCAAGTCAAAAAATGAGATACATGGTGGACACTGCCACGCTTCCTTCCGTCTGGCCGAAGGAACCCTGACCAGCATTGAGTGCTCCATATCCGGAGGATTGACTGTCAGCTTGCCCTGCCACTTTTCCTCTCAGAATCTAATTTGACTCTGTCGGTTGGTTCATATAAAGCAAGAAAAGAGGAGAGTTCTCTGTACTGATGAGATGAAAATCTCAGTTTGCCCATCACTGGGTCACCGTCCTTGTTGGTGGTGTGCTATGCCATTTCTTCCAAAACAATCTGTTGTCTGTCACAGTTGCAATCTTTCCCTGTAGAAGCCAGTTTCTCATGAAACCCCGTCTCTTTATGGCTGTCCTTTCTGGTCTGCCTTTTGTTGGTGATGTCACCTCCCTCCATCTGGATCGAATCTCAGTTTCGACCATTCCCAGCAGTAGAACCCACATTTCTTCTCTAGCCACCTCGGTACCTTCGATAGTCTTGGTGCGTTTCCTTTTCCAGATTACCCAAAGGGCCAGCTTTCTGAGCAGATTAAACCAAACTTCCTTGCCACCTTTGAGATTGTTAGTATTGTTGGAGAGGAGCAGGATGTTAAGGGGACTGACAGCCTTTTAACGTTAGGTTTTCAGCTAGGGAGTGACAGCCGTTTAAGACATTGGGATACTCTTCTGGATCAAAGTTAGGATTTCAGCTAGGGAGTGACAGCCTTTTAAGACATTTTGTAGCTCCTGTTCGGTAGCCCATCGTCCTTGGTCCTCTGCCCAGATGTGTTTTACCTGCCACATGCCTTTCTCCACCCAGGATAGCCATCTTCGGTCTTTTGTGCGGAGTGTCCATGTCGCTCCGCTGGGGTCGGTGATCCAAGGGTTGCAGAAGAGAGGTTGTCTCAGGACCTCTTCTCTGTTTCCTGGTGAGCCGTGCCTCCTTGGCATCATTCCACGCCAGGCTTTGATGGTCGGACTCCAGTATGAGGTGGCTGTTTGAGTGGGGGTTGTGATGGGCTCTGCAGGGTTTCTCCTGCAAGATCTACCTGATGTGATTGCCCCGTCCTTCACCATGAGCCAGTAGAGACCTCTCATGGGATACTCTTCTGGATCTACCTGGTACCCGCCTAGACCTAGGCTACAACTACTGGGCCTCTAAAAATGCCACTTTTGTCTTCTTCTGCTCGGCCTCGAGTACCTGGCTCATCTACCTCTTCAGGGTGTGGTACCGGCCTACCTGCCACTTGGGTGTTTCCCCGCTGCTTCAAGTGTTGCGGGCCTCTTTCCCCGCCACTCGAGTGTTTTCCCCCGCTGCAATCCTCAATGTCATGGCCACAGGTAAGTACGCCCTGAGGGCCCAACGAACGAAGAAGTGCCCTTGCGGGTCACACACACAGACTTAGAGAACTTAGTAGCAAGCGGGAAACTCAGCAAGGCATTCAGTCCGTGAGCAAAACTCAGAAATCAGCTGTGTGTCTCAGTCCGTGTTTGATCGGGTCATCACACCATACTCCTTCCTTGTTGACCATGATGTCCAGGAAATGTATTGCCTGCTCTCCCGTCATCCATGACATGGGCGTGGCAGTGTTGGATGGCTGGTGGTCAGCCCTTCTTTTAATCTGGACCAATTCTTGATTTATTCGTGTCATCCTTGCGCAGGGCCCATACTAATCTTCTGTGTATCGTCCAATTCTAACAGATGTCCCAAAGGACGATCAGCCCTTGTGATTATTGATCCAAGCATGTCAAAACTGGGCACATGACATACCCTAAAGCAGCTACATATCACACAAAAAAAAAGACAAGAAAAAAGCAAAAATTCAGGGCAGTATGACAGTTTCAGTGCAAAATTCGCCGAAGAAAACACCACTGGTTAACCACTTGTGCATCTGCACAGTATGGTGGTAGTCTGTAACCATTCATCAACATGAATTGGTATGTGGGCAATAGGTGCTGTTCAGTCCGCAGCCAGGTGAGGTTGAACCAACTCCTTGGGGTGCCTCCCTGGGACGATGTTCTCCAGTGTTGGATGAGCAATGTTGAATCCATGGCTATCAACAATGTCTTTGGGTGCACGTTTCTTGGTAAAAACTGGTTTTCTTAAATCACCACTACCTTTCCCAGAGGAAGATCAGCCCTTGTGATGAGCACATCTGCACAGTATGGTGGTAGTCTGTATCCATTCATCAACATGAACTGGTATGTGGGCAATAGGTGCTATTTAGTCAGCAGCCAGGTGAGGTTGAACCAAAGGGGCAATGTTCAATCCATGGCTATCAACAATGTATTCTGGTGCGCATGTGCTTCTTGGTAAAAAGCTGGTTTTCTTAAATCACCACTACCTTTCCCAGGCAATGTCGAGAATCACAAATGTAACATTCAAGGATCAGAAATGTAACATTCCAGGTTCTTGATTAAGCCACCAGTGCTTCGCCCAGCCATTTGTCTCCGATGTGGCTGTTAATTCACTGCAAGTTTCACAGGTCGGCGTACTAGGGAAAAATGTCTGGCAGTGCCAGCCAAAAGGAGGGCCGCATCAGTTCGTTTTTCTTTGGCGTGCAGGGCGTTTCCAGCCTCGTGAAAAAGGGGCTTGGAAGTACTGGTAGTTTAACAATGCTACCGGACCATTATGGCTGGCAATGCCAGCCAAAAGGGGTAAAGAAAATGCTGCACTGGCGCTTTGGCAAAGCTTGAAGTGCAGTTCTTTCCCGAAGGGGTTGCAAAAGTCTGAACTCGGCTGTTGCTGTTGTTTTGGCGGTGTGGTTGCACACATTTGCGCATTTGCTCTTTCCGCTTGTGTGTGATTTTGTCCAATTTGACAGGTATTGCTTCGATGAGCCATTGCGTATATCCTGCGAGGAACCTGAAGAAAGGTGGGAGGATGATCCCACTCTGAAGACTGTGAAGTGCTCCTGGGGAAAGGAGAAGTCGGAGAAGATGGAGAATGCAGAGGAGGAGGAAAAAGTGGATACAGGTACGCCTTGTGAAAAGATTGGGGTGCATACTTTGGCAGTAGAGGCGGTTAACGGAGACCCAAAATTTCAGCGTTTTTTTAATGCTATTTATAAGAAAACCAGAAGCTCTTTTTAACCAAAAATTGCATCATTCCATAGAGTCACGCCATATTAACAAACCAATAATAAAAAAAAAGAAAAAAATAAATAAAAACAGGGTGAAACAGTAAGGCAAAGTGCACTTGAATGACATTTTGGATTCAGCGAATTTTCAGAATTTTCAGCGTTTCTGTATGGTCTTATCAGAGGAAATTCCAATGCTCCAAATGAGATCAAATTCGGTACACAACAACCTTGAAGTAAGACAAAAACAGGTATCAGAGGAAATTCCAATG